GGAGTCTGCTTCTCCCTCTGACCCTCCCCCATCTCATGTGCTCTCTCTCATTCTCTCTCTCTCAAATAAATAAATAAAATCTTTAAAAAAAAAAAGCATATGCAAACAAAACCACTGTTGTTACTGTTTTCTCCTTTTCACATTAAAAAAAATGGAGATTATAACTTTTTTTTGGGGGGGGGGTCCAGAGGAACAAAGAACACCGGCTAGCTTATTTTGTGTCCTGATCAGTGGGATATATGTATGTCTACATCTATATCTATCTATATCTTTATCTGTATTAATGTCTGGATTTATATCCTCTGTGTCTTTCTATCCCACTTTTATCCATATCCATCTCACCTCACTAGAATACAGTTGGCAAAGGGGAATGAATGATTACCAATTACTAATGGGTACTAATATCTACCAGATGCCAGGTGCTGAACTGGCCATATGGATTCAGAGATAAGAAACATATGATCTATTTTCAAAAACAGCTCTCTAGGTCTATTTTATAATACAGACCCACAGAACAGAGATCAGAGCCAAGTGCTGTGGGAGTACAGGGTAGGGTAAAAGCAGGAGGTGGTGTTTGAGTTGGGTATCTCTAAGTGGGCATAGAATTCTGCCCTGTAGATGGGACTGGGGCGCATGTTCTAGAAGAGTGGACAGCATATCTAACAATGTCAAGTCCCCCTAGATGGAGGTTTATAATATAATGAGAAAACCAGTTTAGTAGCTGGAATAGACCTATTATTGGAACTCACACTGTGGAGCGTTTGACTTTGCAACCTATGGCAAAGGACACTTACCTTAAGTATGATCTTGGCTTTTTGGGGCCATTTGTGATTAACAAACATTCCAATGGAAATAGGAACAACAAGAGCGACCAAAGATGTACCTAAATATGACAGAAGAGGCATTTCATCAGCAGAACACAGAGCACAGGAGAGAGGAAAACAAAAGAGTAAGCAGCTCGATAAAAGCTTGATCAGTCTCCCTTCTCGAATACACAAAACAGACTCAAGCAAAACAACAAAACTCTCCATCTTTACCCACTCCAGTAAATAATTTCGAATTACTGTCAGAGCATTGATAATATGGATGATATAAATCCTTTTTAGCGCTCTTTATACTGACACTTTTTTGTTTCAATTTGTCAGAATCTTGGCTTCTTTGGTCTTTGGATCTTTATATCCTAGGAAAAATACCTTTTTAAAGTTTGTGTGTATGTTTATGTTTGTGGGGGTACACACAGATATTTTCCATCTCCCTGTTACTTCCTAGTAGTAGAAATAAAACAAAAAGTTCAAAATTCTCCAGGCATTCCATGGGCTAATGACTTCTGGCTCAGACCAAGCTTGGTTATTCAAATCTAGAGCAGAGAGGTGAGAGAAGAGGTTGAAAAGCATGCTTTAAATTTTCTGTGAGATAATAAATGTATTTGGCGACTTCTCAAGTAATTATAATTCTTTGCAAGAACGTGCTCACCCAGCCAGATAAAAGAGTCATACTTCAATTTCCCTGTGTTAAATTTACTGCTGTTCCCATGACAGGTGGTTTGTTTCTCCATGTTACTTAACACTCATTGGTCCAATCACTGCTTTTATATAACATAGTACCAACAACTTTGAACTTCTGATGGGCTGTTTCTTTTTCAAATATCCTTTTAAAGCAGTAGGAGAAAGTGGAATTGAATAATGAGATTTTGAGAGTGGTTTTTGCTTAGCATTGGACTAGATTCAATGAAGACTGGAAAATGGATTCTAGATTTCAGGGCTGTAAATATGAATTTAAAATGAACACAACAGTGATGAAAACATAATTTCTTCTGGTCCTCCTGGCGATATAAAGGTCAGCAGTTACTTTTTCCCAGAAATTACTCAAAGGGATTAAGTCATGGACAGGAATATCTACAGCAGGAAAAAAAGAAAGATGGGAGGACAGGATGGGGAGAAAATGGTGGAACACAGGATATGGAAGAGTCGTTGATAGATGTGCTGGTGAGAGCCCCTAGAAAAATCCCCTTTGAGTATCCTTACATCCTGCTACTTTGGGAGGAGACTTCCTCCCCAGGGTGTCCAGACTATTCCCTAAATTTTGTGAAGTTTGTAGGCCTTAAATTAAAACCATCTTGATACGCATTGATTGTAGTATGGTAGCTTAAGTCGGTGCAAATACTGCGCTTGGAATGGCAGTGTGGTTAGGCTTGGGTACTAGATATTTTAAATGTGTTGGCTCTGTGAAAGGAGCCACCTCCCTGCCCCCGCCCCCCAACCATGGTCGGGCCCCTCATGCTAAGAGTCTTTATCTCCTCCAAGTGGCCCAAGGCTACAGGATAAGCATGCAAGCAGGACCACCTGCCCAAATTGTGTTTCCTCTCCTGACCAGATGAGGCCAGGGACAGTTTTTCCAGGACTAGAACTTGACCGGAAAAGACACTCTTTGCCCTCCCTCCTGCTCAGAGTGTGTGGCTCCCATCTGGAGAGGTGGGTTGGTGTGTCTCTTGACTCCCTAGTGGGGTAAAGATTCTCTTTCCTTCTCAGGGCTGTTTTCCCTCTTCCTTAAGTGCCTGTACCCCCTCTCCCCCCGCCCCTTCTCAAATGCCTGTCCAATTAGACCGGAAAGCATCTGCTTGTGGTTACACCATGTGAACCATAACTGGGCCTTAATCGAGTTCACAGAGCACGTATGGGAGGAAGGAAAGGTGGATAAAAGCGAGAGGCGGGCAGTCACGGGGTGGTCGTGGAGCCAGATCGACTCAGAGTGGAACCTTACAGACTGTGGGGATGATGCAAACTGTCCAGCCCCTCTGCAGTCTGGTTTCCCCGTTTGTGAAGTGGGTAGATTACGTCTAGCTCACGCTGCTGCCATGGGAATTAGGTGATAAGGCAGGTGCATAGTTCATGGTGCTAGACACCCTCCAAGAGACAGCAGAGGCGGGGCAGGGACGGCCACCTGCTGCAGCTGTGTTCAGAGGTGCCAGCTCTGCGGCCGCCCTCCTCCACCCAGACGCCCCCATGGGAAGGGCTCAGGGAGAGTGTTGCCCCTTCAGAGCTAGGTGGGCATCGTGTGGAGCCTGGGCTTGGCAGTCCTGTCCACAGAGAGCATGAGCAGCCCGGGGCGGGGGGGCATGTCCAGCTCACGGTTCAGCTGGGACAAATTAAACCGTTACCTTGGGCCTTAACTTCCCCATCTAAAAAGTGGTGAGAACAACGTGTGAAGTAATTAGGTTGTTTGTTTTCTTAAAGGGCTGGACAAACCAACAGCAAGAAGGTTAGGTTGGAAAATAAGACTGGGCAAAATGGTGAATAAGCAGAGTTAAATCTTTGTTTTTCAAACTCATTAAAAAGTTTTTAATCTTCCCCTCTTTTTTTTTCTATTTTCTTTCTTTTTTGCCCTGACCTTTTTTCTGATGACCTTTACCACCACTGAGGTGCTGATTACTCTTTCTCATGTTCTTTTCCTTTCAAAATTTATTCACATTAAAGGATGTGCCATAAGTCATTCATACTATAGTTCGAATTATTCGATATCGCCATGGAATGTTTTCCAGACAGGAATGAATTTCTAGAGGAGAATATTTTAAAAGCTTAAATTATTTTTTAAAACAATAAGTAATACAGAATTAAACTCCTTACTCAACAGGTTCTTTGAGAGACCTACAATGCACACCACGCAAGCAGTCTACATTGTTTGACTTGAAGATGCTCTCCCAGGGAGCAGACTGAGAGTTAAGGAGCCTGAGGCATAGCAGGTGATTAATTCTGCAGGGTCACCCTAAAACCTGTTTGCAGGAGATTATATCTGGTATGAGGGAGTTCCCCAGATCACTAGAAGGGCCTTGTGCAGAGAAATCCCATATTGAGTATTTGTGTCGATACAAGTCGTCCCCGATTAGTGTTTTCAAAGTTTGCTCTAATTTAGTTGTGTAGACCCCAATCCCGTTTTCATCACAGAAAGAATCTTTCGTAGAAATGGGAAGGATTTTTAGATGCAGCTTCCCATGCCAAAAGGAATTCCTTTACAAATATCCTTCTGAGTCATTGCTTAGCTTCATTTACACTAAGCTCCCTTCAGTGGACACTCACACCTCCTGAGGCAGCCTGTCAGCTGAATAATGACTATGCAGTGTGCCACGTACCTGGTAATATGTATTATCTCACCTGTATCTCATCTTTTATGACTACAGCTCTGTGGGAAATGCCTGGTTTGGGAAGGCCAGGAACTGTCTCATCTTACCCTTGATCCCATGTAACACAAACGACTTAATTTCCCGCTGTCATCTGTTGTCCCAGAAACAGAAAAACAGCCCCTTTGGGGTGGGGGTGAACATCTGGGAGCAAAATGAGTGGAGATAGAGTCCTGACTCGCAGACTTGACTCCTAGGGCATGGTATAGAGACTGTGGAAGTAAATCACCTTCTGAATCAAGGCGGGGCTCACAATCGAGTGTTATCTACAATATGTTTCCTCTGGTAGTTTCCCAGTGCAACACTCACGATTGCTTACTAGGTGCCCTAATTTTAAATCATTAGTGGAATTTTTTTTTTAATACTTCTTCGATCTGAGGGTCTGGGAGCAAACTCACGTTCCCATGAACTAATTTTACTGTGGGTTGAGGAAAGGACAGAGTCTCTTGTGCCTCAGCAATCTTGGCTTCCTTTAAGTCAGCCCCTCTTCCTGCTGATTTCAATGGAGGAAAAGCAAGTTTTCCCTTGGGGTCAAGGTTTGGCATTTAGATTCTGCCAACCTGCATTGAAACGCAGGCGTGACTTGTAATGAGATAAATATGCAAGAGGTAAATATGAGCTGGGTCTGAGCCTGGCCTGAAGATAAACAGAGAATAGGATGGGGATATTCAGAACTCTAGCGGAGGGATGACTTACTTACCTATGGTATCAAAGGGAATGATGATCGTCCCAGAGTCGACCCACATTTTGGTATAGATAAAGAGGCACAGCGGCATCATTCCTAGGGCAAGCAGCGTGGAGCATGTCGTCATGCTGATGCTGAAAGGAAATGGGCAGGTTGATTCATCCACCTGGGCTTTCTAGGGGGAGAGCTTGCTTCATGGTGCAATTCGTGATTAGGAAGTCCCGCAAAAGACGTTCCGGCGGCAGCAGCATCTAGGCTGATGGAAGGACACAGACACGTGCCCATCTTTGTGCAGGTCCTGGCCTTGGGCAAAATGCTGAGATTGGGTTTGTTTTTCTACTTTGTCTTGGGTCGTTCCTCCCTCCCCATGGGTTCTCAAGGATCAGAGAAGATAGTTAATGCCTGTTTCAATTCATTATTTAAAAAGGTACAAGGTGCTTGGACACGCCACCCTGTGGACCTCCAATCAGAGAAGAGCAAACACATCTATACCAGCCAAAACTTTAGGGGCTATGCCGTGTCTGTCTGTACTGAGATGGGCCTCCCTGGGCCCTTGGGGGAGAGCACATGTCCAAGGGAGGGGGCCTCAGTGTCTTTTTTGAAGGCAGACAGATTATTGCCCCAATGCCTGTGGCTTGAGAAAGAGGAAGCTGACTTAAAAAATGAATGAAAATATTCAAGCAGGCAGGGGAGGCCTGGATTCTATTTCGGCTAAGAAATTTACCAAATGTGTGTTCAGAAGAACCAGGGTTTGGTACTATTCCTCCTGAGAGCATCTGTGTTTTAGTGAGAAGACCTGGCTGGGTAAGTGGACTTTGGCTTTTGACGTGGAAGAAATTATACAGAATGGCGTTATTTTCAACAGTGTGACAGTGGACGGAAGAGAGGTTTTTGGGTAGTGGGTATTCGTGGTCCCGTTAAAGGACCATGTGTACAGAGGCACATTCTGCTCCTGGGGAACTGAGCTGTTAAATCTTTGGGCCAGACATTTAAGTCAGACACTGCCTGGGTTGGAAGCAAGTGTGGCCACTTATTACATAAGTACTACGTTCTTTGGGTAATTTACTTGACTTCCTTTTGCCAGTTTCCTTGTCTGTGAAATGAAGATAAAATTGTTGCCACCTCATAGGCTGTGAGGACTAATGACCCAGTGAGTCCAGTACTTAGAATAATGCAAAGATCTTATTAAAAGTCAGTTACTGTATTAGCCATCCAGCCATTGTGTGTGTGTGTGTGTGGTGTGGTGTGGTGTGGTGTGGTGTTCTGGCATAATACAGAATCAGGAAACCGGAGAAATTTTTCTGAAAGGTCTTCCTCCAAAAGTAGCATTGGAGACTATCAGAGTAGTAATTTCTTAAAGGTATTATATGTGGACTTGAAAGAAAATGTGAAATTATTTATATCACCTGTGCCTCCTCCAGCTGCCCCCCACAAACACCAACAACCCACACTATACAGTGCTAAGGAAAACAGCTAGAGGTGAGAATTTTGTTTTAATATATCTAAGTGCAGTTTTGGCAGGAAAAAAAAAGGGTCAGGGCAGTAATGTTTATCATGGGGCTTAACTTCCCTAGTAACCTTTTTTTTTTTTTTTTAAACTGGGGGTGACTTCACTTAAAATGTGTTTAAAGATTTTAGGAAAAAAATACTTAGTGGAGCTAAAATAGTATAACACCAACCAATGCTAGAGATGTATGTAAAACATTTCCAAGAAGTACCATCTATTGTGACAGGTTAACTTAATTTAGATACAAAAAAGGGATGCTAAGGCAGAATCCAAAACCAGAATAATACTTTTCATAAATAGTCCTACTTACAATTAAAATACTGGAGTTTGTAAACTCTCTCCCTTCCTTTGACATTCTCTTTTTTATTTAAAAAATAAATTAGAATGGATTTAAGGTAATCGCCATAATGAAATCACTTTTATTTCAGTATGTCCGATGTACTTTCCAGAGTGGAGAGGACAGGAGGGGGGTGCACGAAGGGAGCAGTGTTCACTACCTGGATCGTTTAGCAAAGAGAAGGCCAAGAGTTTTTCGTTTTAAACTATGAGAACAACGTTTAGAAGAAGTCTACTTATCTTTGTTTTTTCTTTCAAATTTCATTGGGAAAGCTTCAATTTTGAATTATTGCTAAGGCAATTTATGAAGTTGTGTCATGGTTTGAGTTTGGCAAGAGTAGTTTCTTGAAGACCATGAGGAAGGACAAGTCAGCAGTTGGGGAAGGGAATGGTCTAGCTTTAGTGGGCCACCTTGACCGTGAGGCTTTGCAGAAGTACAAGAGACTAGATGGCCTGGAAGTTGATGCCATTTGAACTAATATGAGAATAATATCAAACCACTCAAAATGAGATGAAAAACAATTCACAGGTAATAATTTTAGGGAGCAATGTAGGGGAATAGATTAGCAAAATCAAAAAAATCATTTTAAATGAATGAAATCTGAAATTTTATAAGAAGCATAGATGTCAACAATAGAAATACTACCATGAGTTTATATTGGAATGAGGAAAAACGTAAGAAAAGCAAAAAGTTCTCTTGTCTGCAATTTTTGGCTTTAGCTCTATTAACCACCAGGGATAACTGTTTTTTTTTTTTTTTAGAAGTAAGAACAATAAATGAGAATTCAGTAAATGTTGAGGAATTTGGTGACATCAGTGATGAGGAATGCAAAGACTATCATATTAGAAGTGAAACACCAAATTTGAAAGATCAGGACAAAGTATATACAGGTGGTGCTAGAAATTGGGGGTGTGGTAAGTGATAGAAACAATGTTGAACAGAGATTAAGAGTCTGGATAGGGATAAGTGGATAGGTCTGGGTCTGAATTCTGATTTTGACATATACTGCCTTTGAGACTCTGGGGAAGGTTATGAGCCTTAATTTTATCATCTGTCAAAGGCAGAAAATAATAGTACTGACCTTAAGAGGATTATCTTGAGGGTTAAATACACCAATGTATGTGGAATATTGGTACTGTGTATGACTCCTAATAGTGCCTAGTCAATACTACCTAGTAAAATAAAACTAAATGTTACATGAGAGAAACAGAACTTGGTTACTTAGAGGGGAAAAACAGTAAAATAGTGTTAGGTTAGTTCTTAGAGTAGAGAGGAACTGGACATTTATGTGATTTAAATGGGAGAGATTGCTTCAAATTTGTGATAAGCCAGAGGTTTGGGGATCTTGAACAACTGAAATAACCATGAAAATGGACCTGGAAGATGAAAAATGCAACAATCTTTAGCCAGAGAACAAAGGATGTGGAAGGAAAATCCAGAAACTATTAACACTAGAAAATAGTTAAGGGGAATGTAGCTAATAGATGGTAGTGAAGGAATTGGGGGAAGTGGAAGGAAGGATGCACATACAAGTATTCCCCAAAGAAGAAGTCAAAGAAAGGAAAGTGAGAAGGAAAAGTCCTTGCATGGTATGGCTGAGGTCTTTGCTAAGAAAGGGAGTTTGAAAACGGGGGATCTCTGGGAATACAGCAGACACAAAGGAGGCAGACCTCTCTGTGTCCCCGAACTATGGGTCCTGCCACAGTTGTCATCTTCATTTCTCCCAGAAACATTTTGTGCATAGGATACCCACAGCACAGCTAGACCAGGTGAAAATACCTGCACACTAATCAGATTTCTGCAACAATTTTCTAGGCTGGAGTGATCTGAGAAGGAGCTGAAATATCACCTGCTATATTTCAATGAGCAAGGTCTATAGTTTTGTTAAGGAAAAGTGTCTGCTTTGTTGTTTCTCACTAGAGATTGAAAAATGCAATGGCTTCCCAGGTTTAGAAGAAATGGTAGGGTGATGAGGGGGAGAGGGGGAGACAAAGGTGTGTGGGGAGACACTGGGCTGAGGGAGGGGACAGGGGGCCCTGGCGCGGGGGGAGGATGATTTAGTTTCTTCTCCCAGAAACCACATCCAGGAAAGTTGATGTAGATGGAGTAGTTCTGCTGGCATTGTGTGGTATGTGTTCGAGCAACTAGTAAGCAGTACAGATACTTGTTGGTATAAACAATCATATCTTGGCTGCCATTTCTGGAGTTCCAGTGGAAGTGGAGAAGGTTAAGTTCTTAGAGGACAGAATTGACTCCAGAAGAATAGAAAGGTTGGAAAACTGTTTCCCAATAGCTGAGGTGATAATCTCTTAATTTGCTTTAAAGAAATAATTCGAACAGTTTTCCTTTAACATATGTGATGCGTAATGTCATCATCTTACATAGTGGCCTAATTTAACTCCTTTCAATGATTATGAGCCATTGTGATAGGGGTTATTCCTCGCTACAATACAGCAATGTCCTCTGGGTGGTTGTGTTTACAGAGCTGTTGGGCTCTAGACTAAGTGATGCAGAGGCTGCTGGTCCGGTGAGTTGCCTTCTTTGTTTTGTAGGCATTTTGGGTCTTCTCTCTTGAGGCCAGGCTTTCTGGGCCACGTGCTGCTGTAAGACACAGGCCTGCCCCTCTGGTGCCTCGTTCCCTGCCCCCACTTCTTATTGTCATCCTTGGTGCTGGGAAATAGCCCAACAGAGCTCTAGGCTTAGGAGATCAAGAAGGTCCATGTAAGGAACATTCATGAGATTAAGCAGGATTTATTTGTGCTGTGTAGTCTTTTACTTTGAGTTCTGGATAGGTGGAATTGCTAACAAGGTGACTGCTGGACCGGAGAGCCATTGGTGTTATTTTGTTATTGCAAGACAAGGGGGATCTGTGGAGTACACACTCTCTGGAACGAAAATTAAAAATTTCAATGCCATATATCCCATTTGGGGATAATTCTGACTTGCTGAACGATTCATATATACTGATTCAGCTGGATGTTTTCTACCAAGGTTTCAAATTCTACCTTGGTTCTTATTTTTTAATATTTTCATTTTTTACAGGAATTGTTGTATGAGGTAGATAGGATTACATAGTCATCTGTTTCAAGACAAATAAGATTTCCTTAAGGCCACAGAAAAGTGTAAGTTGCAGCTTTTAGATTAGGGCCCTACAGTTTTAGCCTGCAGAAAGAAATCTGTTTCAATGGCCAAATAAGCATCACGCATACTTTTCCCATCTTACAAAATGATTACACATGTGGCATTATCTTGAGGTAGAAGACTCTTCCATTTTGCTGGAAAGTTACAAATATTATATAAAAGTTGTTCAGATGTCAAAGTCCCATATTCAATTCAGGTCACTCCCCTTGGTGTAGTGGGTGCTGGCTTTGAGAATTGTCACCTCTGAGTGCTTATGTCCGGATCAAACTAAGTTGAAGTCTAAAAGGACCTTATTGCTATGTGGTGGTTCACAGATTAACTAAACCTGAACAACGCTTGCCATCCTTTGTTCATTATAGGACTTCCTTAGGGAAAAAAATCCCTTACAAGGAGGATATGGTATTTCCTTAAGTGAAAAATATGTGAAGTGCAGACACATAGTTTGTACGGCTTTTCTAAAGCTTGGGAGGATCAGCACCAGCTGAGATGAGATGGCAGGCTCCCAGTTGCTCAGTAGGCACCGGATCAACATGGAATACAGTTTTACATTTTGTAGTGGTTACATCTCTATACCTTAAGCTTCTCTCTTCTGAGTATAGTAGCTGGTGATTAACAGAGCTGATTGCCTCCTGTATAGTATTTAATAAGCACTCGTTACATTAACACCTGGAGGCTTTGCAGAAATGCATACCTTTCCCAGGAAATGAGGAATTGTCAGGTAAGGAAAAAGACATTTTGCTATTCAACTTAAAGCATTAAAATTCTCAGTCTCATCACATTAATGCTTCGTCTTATTTCCATTAATTTTTTTTCCCTCAGTGCTAGTTCAGACTGGCACGGGATGAATTGGGCAAACATTGCAATTTAGATTACTCTGTGGGAAGCAGAGAAACCATTTTCTGTTTATAGTAAGGTAAGCATAATTTAAAAAAAGCTGCTGTAGGTTTTTTTTTTTCTTTTCCTTTTGATGCCAGTAGAAGTGAAGCAAATGTACAAATTCTTCTTTAGGCTTGTTCAGAAAAAAGCTTGTTCAAAGAACTGGCTATAGTTGTGGAGTTGACCATTGTCTCAGCACGGATTCTACTGTTTAATGAACAATTTGATTTCATGATTGCACTCAGAGCTTCTCATCACCACAGAGAGAGGTTGGTTTCTTTTGTTCTTTTTTTTCCTGGTACCAACAAGGAAAACTTTCTCAGGTACACTTGCGGCTCGGAAAGAATTTCTTTTTTGAAAAACTTTGAATCTTTTCCCAAAGATAAATAGCAATTATCCAACTCCCTGTTAGCTGAGCGAGATTAAAAAGCGCAAATACAAAGTGTAACCCCCAAATTCCAGTAGCTAAGCAGTTGTACAGGAAGGCGAGTGAATCCATTTCTTCTCTTCTGTTTAATTCCTCAGTTGTACCCTAGATCAGTGGCAGATTGGATGGACATCACAGTAACACAGGCTTCTAAAAAGATTAATTCAATGTGATTGCAGTATGCAGAGGTTTAGATATCTTACCTCAAGTCCATGTCGCCATCGACCCAATAGGCCAAGATATTGGAGGCGGTTCCTCCGGGACAGCATCCCATGATGACTACCACCACTCCTTGGATGGGGAGGATGTCAAAGACCACCGACAGGATGAATCCTGTGAGGGGCATGATTCCAAACTGACAGAGGAAGCCGACACATATGCCCCATGGCCGCTTTATGTGTCCTAGGAATTTCTTGATTTCCACATTGCATCCCATGGAGAACATCACCATAGCCAAGAGGATGGTCAAGACAGTACTCAGTACCACACTGAGAATCTCATTGAAATTTTCCTTAGTTACCACACAGGATGCACCATCACACACTGTTGCATTAGCCGAACAGCCCGTTGAGTTATTCATTGATGGATTTGCTGCTCAGATGGCCACAGAAGTCCACAGAAGTACCAGTCTTCTGCTCCTCTCTAGATTAATAATGCCTAATCCAACCACGGCCAACTTTTAAACCCTTCTTAAACATGTGTCACTTGGTCTTCTCTTTCAAAAGCCACCTGGGAGAGGCAATAAAAAACAATAAATGCTAGTAAGTCAGTTTTCAGAGGTAACATTACAACAGAGCACAAGTTATGAATCATACGAGTCCTGCCAAATTATTGGTCCGGTCAGAGAATTATAATTAATCATTTATTGGCATGATAATGAACCCCACCATAGAAAAAGACCTGTGTTAATGTTTAATGCTGGGAAGGTTTTTTAACTAATGTCAGTTAAGTGACACTTAGAAACAACTCAGAAAATGACAGAACATTGGAGGGTTAAGCCGGCACGTTGTTCCCTCACCTCTCTTTAAATAGGGAGGGCTTGGGTCCTGAAAAGTCGAGTGTCCTATCCCAAGTTAAATTGCAAAATAGTGTCAGGCTCTGAACTGGGACCCAGACCTCCAATTTCCTCCCCCAAATCATCTTCCTACCGTAACGATCGGTCTGCTCCTATTGGTCTATAGTGTTCATAAAGTATATGTAAGTTTGAGAAACATGTAGGGCCTCGTTGCAAACCTATGGGAGAGTAACATGCAGGAGGGTAGAATGTTTTCTATGTTGTCTGGTGGGAAGAGGGCTGACTAGCAGAGCCACCCTCAATTACACAAGCGATTATGTGTGTGTCGCCATGGTAACAAAGTGCTGTTTTAGATAGAGACAATACAGTTATTTAGAGGGATGAACCTCAGAGAATTAGGTCAGAGTGACAGGAGCACTTTGTGCTTGGAGTCAGGAATTGAAATCGGATTTTTTTTTTTTTTTTTGGTGGGGGTGGTGGTTGGAGGTTCCAAGGGAGGTTGATTTTTGTAAATGTCAAATAGTCAACCTCATTATAGGTGGAAAACTGTACTCGGTGTGTAAGGAAGATAAAAAAAAAAGGTAGAGGAGAGATTGTTCCTGTTCTCAGGAGTTTATAATCCAATTATTGAGTTAAGATGCGGCATAAGAATAAAATTGAGTATTTCGATCAGGATTCTCAGTTTATAGGATAAATTCTAATTTGTTGTTTACTTTAATCATGTTAAATTAAGTAGGATGAGCATGCCCATTTTACAGATGAGGACTTGAGGGTCAAGGAAATGAAGTGGTTTAGTCAAAGTTATACAGCTGATAACTGGACCCCGCGAAACTCAGTCTGGCTTAGTGAAAATTAGAAGTACCTTAGAACAAACTTCTCAAAACACACGAATCCTCCAGGGATCCTGTTACAGTGCAGATTCTGATTCTGGAAGTCTAGGGTGGGCCCCAGGATGTTTGCATTCCCGACAAGCTCAGAGTGACGGTGCCGATCCAGGGGACCACACTGTGAGTATCAAGGCCAGAGAATACCAATGTCAGGGTGACGACCATGGCACCGAAGCTGGTGGAAATTGAGCTTCCTGGTTACAACCGAGAACAGCATTTACAGAGCAATTCAATATGGGGAATTACCTTTTCCGTACCTTGAGTAAACATGGGCTGTGAGCACCAAGTAGAGGAGTCAATTATGTCAGATGTCCCCCCTCCCCCCCCCCCCGCTGGGGGCCTAGCAATGCTGTCCCTTTAATCTGGGATTGTGCTGCTGGGAAAACATGGTGCAATGTCCCTAAGGGGTGACAGGGATTCACCCTCATTGTTGGTGCAGCTCCTATCCCAGAAGTGCCCCTCTTTGGGGTCATGCTTCATGGCTGCCTTTGCTGGCATGGGTGGGTTGCCATTAGCTCTGCCTGGCTGCATGCCAGTTCCTGGGAAATCCTCCCATCTCTGTCACTACCCTTTCTGCTCCCACAGCTAAATGATTAGCTAAGTAATTCCCATAAGGGCTCCCCTGCCACTCCCACACATGGAATGACTTTGCCCTGCCTTGCCCGCCCCCTGCAAGCATCTTCTGGGACTGACCTCTGGCCCACTTCTTGGCTCTGGTGCCAGGCAGCTGAGGGCAGAGGAGCCGAACGCCCCCACCCCCCCCACCTCCGCTGCACCGTGGCACTTGTCAGCTCGGGCTCTTCCCGCGAAGCCCGGGCGAGGCCGCCTGCAACGGCAGTGGTGATGGAGTTTCAAAGCACCTGCCCTGCTTTAACCTCAGCCATGACCCAAGAAAGTCGGAGAGCTGGCCTAGGACCTACCCACAAACAGCCTCTTTCACTTCACTGGGTCTGATCTGCAAGGGGAAACTTGAGGCTTTCGGGCTGGCCGGTGATTTGGCTTGGTCCCAGGGTGGGCTTCCTGTTCCGGGCCCCGCTTGCTGCTGGCTGCCAGGTGAAATCTGTACTTAGCCTTTTGTCCACACTGCTGGAAGCAGAGGAGAGAAAGTGAAGAGACTAGAAAGTGGGTTCAGAACAAAGCTGTTCTCAAATTTCAGACGACTTGCTAAGGAGATTTGAGGCTCCCAGGGGCAGAACGCTTTGCATATAGACAACTTGCAAATGAGCAGTCTGTTTGACTAGACAGAACGCTACAGTTCTGGTTAAAAAAATGTGCCAATGCATTTCTAATTTTCACATTGTTTTTACATAAATTTGCACATTAGGCTCAAAGAGGCCTCATATTCGAGTATTGGAGTGATTCACAATTAATTAGTACCCTTAACTTCAGCTGCATTCAAATTCAGGCATCAGACCAGGATAAATGGAAAATATCTAAATATGTAAAAATCATTCTTTTTAATTACAACACAGAATCAGGGAACAGATGCACACCTGAGTGCACTGTCAGAGGCTGGGGCTTGATTTCCACTGTTATCCTCCTCAATCTTTTCTGCTCATTTTTTCCATGCCCTGAGCTCAGGTACAGACCATCTTTAAGAAACCAGCAGCCGGGCGCCTGGGTGGCTCAGTTGGTTAAGCGACTGCCTTCGGCTCAGGTCATGATCCTGGAGTCCCGGGAT